CATACCTTGGGTCGTAGACTTTTGGCCGAAACCGTGGACCGACGGGCACTGAGCTCCTTGAGGGCCTTGTCCTGCTCGCCAATGAGCAGCGTGTCCCGAACGACGGCTTCCAAGTCCTTGTCGTCGACCTCCGGCATCCACTTGTCAGTCTGATGCCTTGCCAGGATTCGTTGAACCACGTCCTCTTCGACCAACGAGTTGTCCATGTTGAGCATGGCGGCAACAGCCAGCTGATGTCCTGCGTCCACACCTGATTTGGGTTGGGTGGCGGTCCAACCCATGTGCTGGCACAACCTGCGCAACAAAGCCTCAGAACAGGCAGCGAAGCCCTGCTCGGCGTGAAAGTCCAACGTGCCCATCTTCTTGTCCACCAAAAACACGATGCCGTTGTTGAGGTGGCTGCCCTGCGTGGAACGACCTCAGCAGTAGCAGTAGCGGCAGCAACACTCTTAGTAAAAAATGATCGCAATCGTTAAGGTGATATCACTAGGAAGACTGGTAAAAAGACTCGAAAAGGGTAGTAGTAGTAGTAGTAGTAGTAGTAGTAGTAGTAGTAGTAGTAGAAGTAGTAGTAGTAGTAGTAGTAGTAGTGGTAGTAGTAGTAGTAGCAGTAGTAGTAGTAGTAGTAGTAGTAGTAGTAGTGATAGTACTAGTAGTACTAGTAGTAGTAGTAGTACTACTAGTAGTAGTAGTACTACTACTACTAGTAGTTGCAGTAGTAGCAGTAGTAGTTGTAGTAGTAGTAGAAGAAGTTGTAGTAATACTAGTAGTAGGAGTAGTAGTACTGGTACTAGTAGTAGTAGTAGTAGTACTACTACTACTACTAGTAGTACTTGTAGTAGTAGTACTACTACTACAAGCAATCGCAGTAGTTTACAGTAGTAGAAGGAATCTCAGCAACAGTCCTAGTAGTAGTAGTATTACTACTACTAGTACTAGTACTACTAGTACTACTACTACTACTACTACTACTACTACTACTAATACTACTGCTAGCACTAGTACTAGCACTAGTAGTATGGCCAAAAAAGTGGTAGCAGTACACACAACCACACCCTCCTTTCGTCAATACCCAAAACCTCGACGCACGTGCCATCCTGGGCTACTCAACCTAACTCTGTGAAACTTCGAATCCTTGACTGTCGAATCGCCTGAGTTGTTCAGAAACCCATAAAAAATAGCTTCAGTGCTACCCCCCCCCCGCGCCGAAACTTACAATCTGAACCGGAGAAGCCTTCCGTGTCAATCAATCATCGTCACTCATTATAGGACGAATATATATGTAGAGAATGTCCGTGTCGGGCTGACAATGTTCAACTGTACTGCAGCCGAGGCACGCAGAGGGGAAACAACTCGCAGCCGCAACACTTCCAAGTCCAAAGATGTGCTGTGCATCCAAAAGAGAGACCGAACGCCCATGTTGAATTCGAAAAACTCATGGTCCTTGTCCTTAACGATCTTGCCGGGCCATGCGAGTGCAGCCAAACGGTATGTCCGAACGATGAACAACGGGTCTGCACCTGCCAGTACAACATGTCCTTCGGGCAAAAGTCCAGAGCACCAACCTTCTTCACAAAGCGACCATCGCTTGGCCCTCCACGCCTTCATCAGTAAACTGAAGGCAGCCAAAACCTCCTGTTCCTCGGCGTGGTTGTGGGAGACCCAGTCCCTCGTCTTCGTCACGTCTGCAAGAAGCTGTGCTTCCTGCACCTCCGAGGCACTGACCTGCGTGCTGACCGACGAATCGGAACGACGACGAACTGCTTGAATCTTCTTCTTCTCGGTGTCTTTGCAGAAAAGTTTGGCCACGTCAAACGCTGCCGGCGTGTGGTAGAGCTCCGTTGACAGTGCCTCCACCCTCTCGTACATCTTGACCACGGCCTGTTGGGTCACAGCCTTCCATCCGTCCAAACGACCCAAGTCCTTCGAAGACGAATGTCGTTGCTCGGCCTCGCGCTGGACTTTATTACAGTCTTCGATGATCTTCGTGTTCAAGAGGCCCGACCAAATGCTGGTCAATACGTGTGCAACGTCCTCCGTAAGGCTCTGAAACCGGGTAGTGCAAAGATCGGCGAGGATGTACCGACTAATCGGCCCTTGGGAGAAATGACCTTCGAGCAATTTTTTGCCATACGAGAACCACCACTGTGCGTGTCCTGGATACAAGACTGCATCTCTTTGAAAAAATCCAAGCTTGCCCGACGGAACTGCTCTTCAGCATGGACTAGTCCTGCGGTCGCACCGAAACCTCCAGTATGGTACAGCTGTGCCCCGGCCCGCAGCCGCAGGATCTGTAGTGTCAACTGCGTCATTTGGCCTGCGAGCGAGTCCTGCCAGACAAGCTCTGTCTCCTCCGGGGGTTGTGCGCGTGCCAGTGTCAGGTCGAGGCCGACACGAGATAAACCTTCCAAATTCGACAAAGTCCTGACGTGGTCCTTTGCAGTGCTCATCCAAGACCAGTGTGCCCAGCCAGAGTAGTAGTCCTTCGTCATGCCTTTGGAACGCAGCTGCTTGAGCATGAGCGAACAACGAAGCTCTTCGGGTTGCAAGACCTGGAACATCATCCTGGCTGTCGTCTTGTTGTCCTGCGAGATCACGAACTTCGTCATTAAGTGTAGACTGTTCGCGCTGCCCTTCCGCTCCTGGTCCATGCCTTGCTTGGCCTCCTGTATGGCAGAAGACTTGCTTCCACCATATGGAACCGAGGCACGGGCCTGGTTGCTGTCCTGCGAGAAGAGGTCCTTAGTGGAAACTGCCCAGTTGTGCTCCAAGCAGACCACCGTGAGAACTAAAGCCAAGACCGACCACTCTTTGTCCAGCGCGCTGTGGGCCGTCGTCAGGGAATTGAACCGACTCTTGCTGGCCTTCGTGCCCTTGATGCGGATGCAGTCCATGTCGGGTAATGTCTGCAAAAACGACCTGCGTTTCTCCTCCGTGTTGTCGTCCAGGGGGGAGAGGCCGGCGTCCAGCAGAATGTCCGGGAAGAAAAGGAGCAATATCGGGTCCGAGGGGTCCATGTTGTCCTTCATGCGATTTGCGGCTTGCTGGATCTTCAACGCCCACGAGCCCTTCTGCCAGGGTCCATACCTGATGTTGTACAGCGAGATGCACGTGCAGAACTTCAGGAGTCCAGCGGCCGACAAGGCCAAAGCCACGTCGTTGTGCGACCTGTGGGCGGGGTCCGAGACGTGTTCGATCCAGAGGCTCTTTTTGTTCCTCAAGAAGGAGACAGCCGCCAGCTGTGTTGCTTCTTGGTCGGTGCACAAAATCATGATCGGTGCACGTTTAGCCTTCGTGTCGTCCTCCGCGGGGCCGGCCGGCGTGCTCTGGCAGCAGCCAAAAGTCCAGCCAATGGGTCGCAAGCCGTGGTTTATGTCCTGCATCCAAGACAGTGTGGCCAGCCGGTCCTCCGCATGACCAGGTCCAACGGGTTTCTCGATCCCGAGGAACTTCTTGGAAGCCTTGTTCCACATAGCTTTCCACTGCTCAGCCGACAAGACGGACGATTTCTGGACCTGCTGCGTGGTCTGACTACACAGAGAAAAATGTGAAGCAAAGCTTAGAGGAAGAGCTTGTCAGCAACAGCATGCAAAACAAACGACAGAGGTTGTTACCATATAATCACCCAGGGGCCCTTTTTTGGGGGACCGGCCGGTCAACTTAAGCGGGGATCTGGCGTACCTTTTTGGGGGCCGAAATGCAGCCAAAATGTGGCCGAAATGCGTTCCTCGGCCTCCACCCGGGACCCGGTCAACTTAAGCAAGGCTGTGCGTACCTACTCATCAGTAGAAGGGCGGCCGGGAGCCTTTATCAGGCCAATCCCGAAACCCAGGGGTCAGCGGGGATACGTGTACCTATCTTTATATAAAATACAATAGAAAGACTCCGCCCCAAACCGAGCCTGAGCGGGGATACGTGTACCTCCCCTCGGAAAAACGATTTTGGTCGGACCCAGAAGCTACGAAAACGGCACCCAAAAAGGTCAACTTAAGCAAGGCTCTGACGTACCTCGCCTCTTGCCTAAAACGCCTCAGAAATATGTGTTGCTTAACAAAAAAAAAGCGCCTGCGGCGGGCAGACCCAAACTTTGTCCGTCGTGTGGTTGTACACCATGATGTTCAGCCAATCGTCACTTCCCACGTGCACTGCATCTGCCACCACGCACAAAATGTCCGTCGAGAGGAAATCTGACTTGCCCTGCGTGACATAGGCGTATCGCTCCATGCGTGCTAGCCTGTGTGCGTCCATAGAAGCGTGCTTCTTGATCTTTTGTTCGTCCTGCTGTTCGCTGCTGTCCTGCACGGTGAACGCATGTCCTTGCAATGTGGAGGTAAGTGTCCTGCGTGTGGCATTCGATGAACTCGCAACCTCTTGTCGAAAACTCGTGGACGACCGACGATATCCGGAGGTGCTCCTGAAACAACAGGGGGAATATCAATTTTCGGGCTTTCAAGACACAACCCTACATCTTAAAACCCCGGAACCCTCCAAACCCTTCAAACCCTCCAAACCCTCGAATCGAAACCTCTCTCCTAAGCTGCATCACTTGCTTCACATTCAAAGATGTCCAGCAGGAATGCGTGTCGTCCGACGAATCCATGGCACGTGCCAAAGCCGCCAACAAGTAGTACTTCGTCCTCAAACTAGATGACTTGCGAGTGTCTCCAATTGTCCGACGGGTGCAGTCCACATTCACATCCTGCAGCACGTCCATGAATCGGGAACGATCGCGGTGTAGTACTTTAGCAAGTAAACTGTTTTGCAGTACAACCTCGTCCACGTCCAGCGAACCTCCTTTGAACGGCAGCACCAGAGTGTTTCCGTCCCACGTGAATGAGAAGTCCTGCGGGGTCTGCAGGAACAAGGAAGCGAGGCCTTGAAGCAACTCCCCGGCCAGCTTGGATACCTCCTCTGCCGGCTTCTTCCATTTGGCATCTTTGCGCATACCCTGGTGCCATTGATGCAAAAGAACAATCGTTGCAAAGCTCGACGTGGCAAACTCTGTACAACGTGTGCTTCGTCCAGCTGCTACCTCTTCCATCTGGTCACCCGTGTGCTCCTCATTGTCCGCTTGCTCGTTGTCGTCCTCCATGTCGTCCTGCATCTGCTGCGAGGATGCCTTTCGTTTGGTGCCCTTCTTCTCGGCGTTTGCAGCGTGCTCCTGCTGCTTGAGGAGGGAGAACGAACTCTGGAGAAAGTGCGACTCGATCTCTTTTTTCAGAGCGTCCTCCGTGTCTGTCCAGCAGGGCCATGCAATCGTGAAGAGCTTGTTCCTGAACGTCGACACACTGCCTGCGAGGAAATTTCGAGACTCGTGTCCTCCGAGGAAGTCCACAAACCAACGCATGTGCCAAAAACGATGTCCATCCGTTACCTTGGTCTGCGGCTCTTTGAACTTGTAGCTCTCGCCCTTGAGGCTTCCGTGTGTCCCGCAGGGAATGCAAAATGCAACTGTCCGACGCTTGTCCGACGCAGAGCTGAAAAAAGCTGGAGGTCCTGAAGAAGAGGGTCCATCGGCAGAAGCGGGCTCCAGCATCTGATAGCGAGTGGATCAATTCTACAGTCTGTTTCTGGTGAACGAATGTAGCAAAACTTTATAGGCTATGTCCCAGGAAGTATATGTGACATCTGCCAAACCAAGAGAAAGGGAGGCTCTGCAGGCATGCAGCTTTTATTCTGGAAGCCCAAAGACAGCGGCAACGAATCGCTGATGTCGCAAGGCAGTGCTCACACCACGTGTCATGGGTCTGTGTTCTTCTGCAACATGTATGTAGCACATACTGCAAGGCACCGCAAGGAAGTCATTATTGCAGTCAGCCATTCATCGCACGTATTCTTTTATGCAGCTTGCAAGTTGCCGGCTTCACGGCCCCAGTGAAACTCGTGCCTGTCCACTCACTCAGACACAATGGGTCGAACGGCGAGGCGAACGACATTGTGCTTTTCGAGTGAACAAACTGGACAGAACAACGAGTAAAGTCAACCCCAAACTCAAGACACACTGAACTACCAGGAGAGAGTGCATTATGCACTCCGGACCGACGGGGTGCCCTGCGGCACATTGTCGCCGAGGCCAGCCGTGGTGTCTGCGTCCGACGACAAGTCGAAGGTCCACTTGGCCTTCATGTCCGGCAAAGTAGGAAAGAAACTCGCGCATTCAAAACTGAACAACGAGTTATGCTGTCCATCTGAAATGACACAGTCCACCGCAAAAGGGTCGTCCAATTGCCACGTCTTGTTGTCCGGGAGAGTAGGAAGCTCGTGGCTGAGGTACGACTCGTTGGGTACGAACTCCGAGCGGGAACGGCGAGGGTGTCCATCTTGTGTGGCAAAGACGTGGCAGTACAACGTGTTGTTCTCAAGTGACCAGATGTTGTACCTGTCCCGGTCAACACTGATAGCCTCCGCCGAGTTCACCGCAGCTATGTAGTTGCGACCAACGTCCTCCATGCGGGCCCTCGCTAACTTGACCAACGTGGACTGATAGCGAATGTCCGCACGAGATGGCAAGGACGCCGACTTGGCTGCCCAGAACTGGATCTCGAAGAGGGTCCGTACGACGGGTTCGTCCTTCTGTACGTCCTCCGCGAGCTCCACACCGCAATGCTTGAGCATTAAGCTCGCCATCTCAAGCGGCAAACTGCCCCATTTGGTGCACTTGCCCTTCCATCTCAGTCCACCGGTCTCCTCCTTCTTGGCAACGTCCTTCAGAAGACCATTCAACGAGCCCGAGCGGATCAGACCAGCGAGTGGAGAAATCCAAGTCGGGTTCTGGGTCAGCGTGTCTTGAATGAACCGCATGTCCACGTCGAGTATGGTGCTTTTGGAGTGCTGAACGGCGGATGCGAACGTCGCCTCGTTGCGCTCCCGGGTCTTGATGTCCTTCGCTTTCTGCTTCGCCAGCTGCTTGAGGGTGGGCTTGCGGGGGCCGGCATCACGAGGCATGCTGGGCAAGGTCCGTCGAGGAAGAACGACGGGGGAAGGATGATAAGACTGCACGAAGTCTCAACGCACAGGCAGGACGGCTTCGGAAAACCAAACAATCAATCAAGCCCTGCTGCTGGGTGGTCTCACAGTGCATTGTGACTGGACGAACATGGCAAGCAAGACACAAAGCGTAGACCGCACGAGAGCACAGTGCCTGAAACGAGAAGGCTCAGCGGCAGCGATGCCGGCCAATGGAGTCCGTGTCCTCCATATGAACAGGACAACAGCGATTGCAAGAGCGCCTTCCTCCAGCTGGTTGACTACTGGTCTAGTAATTACTCGTAGCAATACTAATCCAGATTGCGAAGAGTAGTACTAGCAGCAGTACCACTACTCATTAAAGAAAGGAAAAACCAGTAGGCCGAAATTGCAGTCCCTATTAGTTGAAGTAGAAGTATTAGTAGTAGTAGTAGTACTAGTAGTACTAGTAGTAGTAGTAGTGTACTAGTAGTAGTAGTAGTAGTAGTAGTAGTAGTAGTAGTAGTAGTAGTAGTAGTAGTAGTAGTAGTAGTCGTAGTAGTAGTACTAGTACTAGTACTAGTCGTAGTAGTAGTAGTAGTAGTACTAGTCGAAATAGTAGTAGTAGTAGTAGCAGTAGTACTGGTTAGCTAGTAGTAGTAGTAGTAGTACTAGAAGTAGCAGTAGTAGTCGTAGTAGTGCTAGCAGAAGTAATAGTAGTACTAGCTAGCTAGCTAGCTAGCTAGCTGGCTAGCTAGTAGTAGTAGTAGTAGTACTAGTAGTAGTACTACTAGTACTAGTAGTAGTAGTAGTAGTAGTAGTAGTAGTAATAGTAGTAGTAGTAGTGGTAGTAGTAGTAGTAGTAGTACTAGTAGTAGTAGGAGTAGTAGTAGTAGTAGTAGTAATAGTAGTAGTAGTAGTAGTAGTAGTAGTAGTGGTAGTAGTGGTAGTGGTCGTACTAGTACTACTAGTAGTAGTAGTAGTAGTACTAGTAGTAGTAGTAGTAGTAGTAGTAGTAGTACAGTACCAATGCTAGTAGTACTTGTACTAGTCGTGGTAGTAGTCGTAGTACTGAGTTGTACACCTCATGATTATTTTCCTGAATCAAGCCACACCCGAAGCCCCTCTGTGGACAAGTATGGTGAACTTCCAGAAGTGAAATCGGTTTATACCATGCACTGTAAGTAGATCTAGTTAAGGAGACACCACCCGCAATGAATAGGCCAGAACTAACCTTACTGATTCACAGCCACAAACAACAAATCTAATGTGTAACGCCCAACACTAAAATTTACCGCTCACCCTCGATTCTATGCACTCGATGCTTGAAATGCTGAAATGGCAACCCAGGCAACAAACCGGACTCCAATTGCTCAAAGGCCTTTAACTCTTTATGTCTACGGCAATTGCTCCATGTCTGCTGCAGGTGGATCCTAACTTACCTCAGAGTCCGCGGAATGCCTTGTCACAATCCGAAAGCATGACCCCTGACTTAGTCCTCGTCCTGCCGTGTGGCCGTGCCCTGCGAACCGAACGAGGAGTGACCGACCTCAATTGCAATGCATGAAGCACATGACAAACCTAGTACGAGTGACTGGTGACTGCGGGTGGTTCAAGCACTTGTCGCTTCCGAGTGTGACAGGAAAGAACACAGCAACTGTGCCGATGCAAATCGTCACAAACTGTGCAGCACCAGAACTCCGAGGACCCCGCCAAAGAGGTGCCAGTCCATGTCAGCAACCTGAAGCGCAAAAGTTTAAGTCAGCAAACAGTGCGATAGGAACTAACATCCGGCAAATGTAAAGTGTGCCAGGACAACTCTTTTGAACGGCGAGAGCGAACTGATCTGAACTCCGAGTGCAGAAAACGTGTCACTTTCGAGACTGGCCGGCGAGAGCGAACTGCTCCAGAACTCCAAATGGAGACTGGCCGGCGGGTACGTCGTGCTTGAACGAACTGCGGCTAGTTCCACGAGCCCGGTCCAAGTTCGAGTTTCTTGAGAAACAGTCCGATGCACTGAAAGTCGATCGTGTCACCTGAACCAGCGATGTCCGAAAATTTGTCGACTTGGTAAGTATTTCAGTTATACTACAAGGTTTACCAACAAAAATCTTACTGGTTCTGCTGTTGCACGTCCGTCGGGGCCCTTCGTGATGCAGAAGTACAAGTCCGACGCGTTGTGCGACGACACCGCGTAGTACATGTGGCCCTGCCAGGGAACGGGGACGGCCACCGGGTAGGCCTCCCAGTCGCGGTTCAGCATCTCGACCATCCACGATTGCGGGTGTCGGGAACCGAACAGCGGGGAATGGAGTCCGGCGGAGAGGGCGTTGTCTGTCCTGCGCTGGGCCGCCCCGAGTATCTGCTTGAAGCAGAGCCTGGACCGGCAGTGGGTGCTGCGTGTTTAACCACTCACACACACAAGTGCAAGTACTGGAATGCTTGAATGACTGAGTGCGCTGATGTCATAGCTGAGTGCCACACTCCAACATTTTATCGCCCTGCATGTGTTCGACGAGTATCTGCCAGCCGTCGTCCTTCCTGCTAGGGAACAATTCAATTATCAGAAACACAAACTATTAAAATCTAGAAGTCTCTCTCACTCACCGTCCGAGGAGTCCGTGTCGCGAAGGCAGGGGGCCGCTTGTACAGCAGTCCATCGGTTGCAGCAAGCCAAGACCAAAGCCTACGGGATGTGCTCTGTGGAAAATAATCAATGTATTATAATATTATATGGCTTTAAAAGCATGCACCTTCATAGAAACCACGCTACAACCAACATGGGTGTAACGAGCCTGTCCGCCCATTTCTGCTGCGTGTCGTACGGCGAGTGTTCGGGTACAAAGACAGTCGAGAGCCATTCGGTGCGCCATTCGGGCATCCTGTCGGGTTGTCCAGTGCGGAAATAATATGCCTGCGCAAGGCTCAGATCGGCGAGGAAGCACTGCAAATCCTCCTGCGAGTCAATGTCCGGCGGAAGGCAGTCCAAACAGTTCGACGGCAGCTGCTCGCAATAATCGAGATTACGCTGCAGGATGGTACTTGGGTCTTCCATCCCACAGACCGACGCGAGGTAATAGTCCATCGCACGAAAATCGAATATGACCTCGTCCTGCGGGTCGGTGGAACGGCGAAGAAAAAACGGGAGTCCATGGGGAAGTCCTGCTCGGTCAGCGGAACCGGAGGACGACATGTCCGACGAGAAAGAACGAGGAAAGGGAGAGGAATGATGATGACAGTGGCAGGTGGCTTGGGCTTTCTGGCAGCGGCATGATAACAATGATTCTGTGTCTAGGCTTCTTTAAAAAACCTAAAGCATCACCAACCACGACAGACCATGATGCTTCAGATGAAAGTCTGCCTGACTTGTGCTGCTGCTCCACACTGGCAAGTGCTAGGCTGCCCACGGTGATCTACGTGTGCCCACTCGAAGTCCAGCGGAGTCACCTTTGTGAGGCCGACGTTAGTACTACATGGGAACCATGGACTCATGATTTGTCCCTAGTCCTTCGGGGTGGTCCTGCGGTGCCGCTTTTGAGCTTCCTAGCTTAAATCATAGTAACTTCGAATGCAAAGTGCACAGAAAAGGAGCTTGGACAGTCCTAGGAACCGACCTTGAACAGTCTGGTTACAAAACCCAGCATTCTTTACAAGAGGCAAGCTGCTGAGTAGAACCATCGAACTCCGAACGACCGTTGCAATGTGTACTGACGACCCAGGCCTTGTGTCTAAGTCTTCAAACTGACATGTATAACTATGATTCTAAACTGCATTCAGTCAGCTGCTAACCACCCTTGTCCCAAAGGAACCCCACACCCTGTGTAAACCCGACAGCTGAAACACAGACTCTGTGTGTGTGTGGGTGTGTGTATGTGTTGTCCTGTGTATGTCCTGCGAGTGCCAACAGCTGTTGCTTAGTGTTGCATGGGAAACCAGATGAACACAACGTCCCAAATGAAGTCCCCAATCTCAGAAGATGTAAGTAACAAGCGAAGAAACCTGTAAGTAGCATCTCAAGACAAGATGGTTCCAAAGGCAACCGCTAAAGAAAAGTATAAGTACCAGGAGAACAAACAGGGAATGTGCATTCTCGAGTCCAGTACCATTATACCACTGCACAAGTGCAAGAACTTACTGTACTTACCCTGTGCCCTGAAGAGAACCATCCTTTAAACCCAAACAAAAAAAGCATGAACAGACCTGAGCTTGCAACGAAGGATTGCGCATGGAAGACCTGATGCGAGGAAGCTTGAGGGCTTCTCCTCTTTAATATTTTATAATTCTGAGTATTAATATAATATTATTATTGCCTGATGTGAAACCTCCACAAAGACTGAGACACCCAATCCAAACCACTTTTTGACTGTCCATGGTTTGAATATCAAAAAGCTCGTAAATTAAATATGAAGACAGACCTTTCCTGAGAGGGAAGAATAACGATTCTGAAGCCCCCTGTAGACTACTGCAAACTCCATTATCGCAAATCCACCTCTGAGTCTTTGCCATCCGACTTAACATTTACATAGAAGACATGGACACCACATTTTCCTAGCCGCATGGCATATGAGAAATATGAATTATCTGTGCAGTAACGGCGCGGCAAAACAGCTAACTCCAAACCGTGATAAATCTTTCATAAGAGACCACGACCCAACCAGCAACACATGATCGGAGCCGCTCTGAGCACCCAGCTGCGAAGAAAGGGTGGCTTCAAAGCACCTGACGCTGGCAAACACTGGCATGCTGATACGACTCACTTACTACCTCAGGAAAGCATTCTGCGGCAACGACTGCAGAACCGCACTTTTTCCTGCTGTGTCCGGCGAGTCGAGAAGTTGGCGAGTCGAGTACCGTGTATCAGACCGACGAATCAGGATATTTCTCTATTCCAGGATGCTGCTATGCGGCCTTCTAAAACATTAATTTAATAGTTTGTCCTTCGAGGAACCGTCGAGTCTGATATGCACGGGAACTACGGGGGACTCCGTCCTCCGGGGGGA